TACGGCTTACTTGCATTTCATTTCAATAATCTGTGCTCTAATTGCCTGGCAGCTTAGGCAGCAGCAGGTGCAGTTCGAAAGTGTACGGAGTGAGAAGAGTTTCATTACTGCCTGGTTTATACAGTAAGTGAAGCTTATAAGTTTGATTGAGAGAATTTTTGGACAATTGATTCTTGATAAATGTATTTTAGAATATCCAAATATATAGGGAAAATCGCAGAGCTGATGTTAATCTAAAAATAATTCGCATTAGATAATAAAACACTTCTTGTGACTATCACATGACAGAGTTATTTAAAGCATCCGATTCTAACTATCAATATTAACTATAAGCCTTCTGCAAGAAGTGCGTGTGTCAGATCGCATCAGTTATGCTGACCTCTGGCACGCTACCAATCAGACGCCAATACCTGTTGAAGTCTGCATATGAAAATGGCATGGGATTGGGCATATAGTATATATTGGATTGGGTAGTAGTACATAAACATAAATAATTATAAATTATTTGGAAATAATTAAAATAATTGAAGTAATTAAGGAAATGATAATGATAATTCGCTTAATATTTATGAGAAGTTTATGTAAGATTTGTTTGGTTTATTGGGTGTCGCGACCCTTTTTGGCTTATTACATTTTGAACATATTCGAGGTTATGGAAACTCCATTTCATTAGATTCTTTGTAACGTCGTCGTCGCGTTTGTGTTGGTGGTGGTGGTGATGATGTTGGTGAAGGTGGTGGTGTTGGTGTTGGTTCACTTCCATTTTCAGTCTTGAAGATTGCTAGAATCTCTTCAAACGTTTTGTTTTTAGTCTCAGGAACCTTTTTATACGTGAATATTCAGAATATATGAACGAAAACATTGCTAGTCAAAGACTTCGATAGAATCCTCAATGCAAAGGTCGACGTGTTCGCGCACCAACAAGAACAAGGAGAAGATTAATACAATTAGAAATGGAAGCTGCAAATTACTCCTGGAATAACATCAGTCGTGAATCGTGTAATAGAGTTTGCTATAAAAGAATGGTCGGGGCCATATGTGCCATTGGTAGATGAGGATGACAGTGATCCTTCAAAAGCAAGCATTTACTACACAGTGAAAGTCTATCAAACAAACTTTCGTGTCCTGTCCATTACATGCTTTGAGAATTTTTTAAATAACAACAAACTAGTGTTGTTGTTGTGGTAACCCATTGGGACTTGCTTGTAAAGTCACATTGGATGGTGTTGAACGACACTTGGTCGTCGAGATTGACGAATGGCTCCGGGACGTACACCCGGCCGTTCTTGGAGTCAACAAATTAGTGTCAATAGTTCTGGTTTATACATTGTGACCGAAAGGTTTTCGGAGGTTCTCATTTAAAATTCGCGCGCTGTATATTTTTCGATATTTTAAGTTTATGTAGTTTGGCAGCACTGTCCTTAATTACTATTGCCAAAAATGAGCGCGATCTGTCGGACAGTTCGTTTACGGCAGCTGTTGAAACCAGTTCACCTCAGTAGTGCGTTGCGAAAAAAACAATGGAAAAAAATATTGAACAAAGAGTTTGCATCAAATTTTGTTTTTCGAACGAAATTTCGTGTGCAGAATCGTTGCGAATGCTACAAAAGGCTTATGGGGAATCAGTTTTATCGAAAACTCAAGTTTATGAGTGGTACAAAGCCTTTCAGGACTGTCGTACGACCGTCGAAGACATGCCGCGTTCTGGACGACCTTCGACCTCTACCACCGACGAAAACATTGAAAAGGCAAAGGAAATCGTGTTCAAAAATCCTCATGTGAGTGTTAGAGAGATAGCACGAGAGCTAGGCATCGGTCGTGAGATGGCTCGTTTGATTTTGGTGGACAATTTGTGTATGCGACGTGTCAACGCCCGGCTTGTTCCGATTCACCTCAATTTGTTCAACATTATCAACGATTTTAAGGCCAAACATTCAATAAATACCATCGAACAGCCACCGTATTCACCTGATCTTGCACCGTGTGACTTTTTCCTGTTTCCCAACCTCAAATTACCACTCAGAGGAACGCGTTTTGAATCCATAGAAGACGTAAAACAGAATTCGCAGAGGGAACTCAAAGCCATACCGGAAAGCGCCTATAAAAAATGTTTTGATGATTGGAAGAAAACGTTGGCATTTGTGTATCGCTTCTAATGGAGCATATTTTGAAGGAGATAAAATAAATATTGATGAAGATTAAGAATTTTGCGTTTTATTTATTTATGACCGGAAACTTTTCGGTCACAATGTATAACACAACTAACCAAGCAATTTGTGACCATTTCTGCAATAATCTTTATGTAGTCTGAATGTCTTTATATAACCTAACCTAACCTAGATTTTACTTTAGTAGTTAGAAGTAATATAAATTATATTGTCATATATTCACTATATCGTAATTCAGTATGTAAGTATATGATAAGTTATATTATTTTTCATTTGATATGAAAAACTTGAGCTTTTATCCTTTGCAAAAAAATAATCGAGTTTTAGTTAAATTAAATATGGAAAGATTTGAGTCAACGCATTGAATGCCAAAAAGTAGGATTAGGAAAACATACAAAAAACCAAAAAATTCATTTAATAAATTTACCTATATAACATATATCATCAAAAAATGTATATTTTACTTTCTTCTCTTATTTATCATCTTTTTATCAACAGTCTTTCTCTTTCTTTGCACCTTATTCTGTTTAATATAAAGGTAAATAGTATTGCCATATCAAACTTTTTATTGAAAAATTAGAGTTTCTATATACTGGAGTCTTAAGGGATCCTTTTTTTGGTCAATAACCATCGTGTCTTATTTTGTGTATTTTTATGAAACATATATAAAGTATAATATATGTAATTGGGTTTGATTAAGGGGCTTGAGTATATATTGAAATAGAAGCACATCAACAACCCAAAGAATTCTGTTCAAGTAGGCGTTGCTTTTTTGAATCTCAGAAATAAATTTACTGTCGAACATTTTTTTATCAGAAATTTTGAAAATCTTTATTGGTTATAGTTTGTGTTCTCAGTATTTTCTATAAAAAGTTTAAGTGACAATTAACAATTATCATCAACTTTCAGTAAGATTGACTAATACCCTTGTTTTTATTAACCATTTTTTTGTATTCCAAGTACTACCACTGGAATCGGACTATCAACAAAAATAATTTGCATTAGTTTGAGTTGGACTCCAGTGATTTGAGATATATATGTACATTTATATATATATCATTTCACAAATCTTCAGGTATGTACACATCAAATTGTAATATAATATATAATATATTTTATTACATTTAAAAAATCATCTTTACAATATATTAGCGGAAACGGCACTCATGTGACATATATTTTTTGTGATATAAAATGATGTATTAATTGAGGAATTTAAGAGTTTCTTAAGTATTATTATTATACTATCTTCAGACGCACCTTAATTTTGCAAAAATCTTAATTTCATCTTCATTTCAGTGAAATTAAGTTATTTTTTTTCTAGTTATAAGAATAACAATGAGAAATTTCCCAGATACAAATGGTGTTTGACGCATATAATATTTAACATTCATTTTGTAAATTAAAATAAGTATGATATATTTGGGGCAGTATGAACACTTTCGAATTTAACTTAATTTCATTTCTATGAAATTAAGAAAATTTAGCTGTCTGAATATAGCATAAGGAAATTTGGCTGTCTGAACATAGTATATGGAAATTTGGCTGTCTGGACGTAGTATTACGTACTGTCTCTAAAAACTGAAAATAATTGCATATTGCAATGATAGGCAACCCTAAATAAATAAATAAAGATGGCAACTTTAAGGGCATATGCAAAAGAAAATGTCACAAAAAAACAATTCTGATTTAGTAAAAACAAGCTCGATTGCAAAATACATATTTTTCTAGCAATAAAACAAAAATCTAATCGGAAACTATCGAAGTTCTGTCAAAATTTGGGTGTATAAGTTAGTGTCCGTAATTTCACGCAAAGAAAACTGTTTAAATTAGTCTTGACTTTATCAAGCACTGAAATTAATTTATGCCAACATTTTCTATCAAAAGTTGTGTAATTGTTTGTTGGCTGGGTGGCTACTTCAGATATTTTTATAAAAATCTTCATCTTTAAGAAAATTTGAGTAATACCCTTGTTTTTATGTACTATTATTATTAAAGTGAATTAAAGTGATAATATTTCAAGTGCAATCGTAAAATCAACCAAAAGAAGCTGCATTGGTTGAGCTGGACTCCAGTGGTTTGTGATATATATACACATATGATCTCATACATCTTCAAGTATGTACACACCTAATTGTAATATTGTAATTGTAATATATAATATATTTTATTATATTTTTTTAATATATAATTAATATATATTTTTTAATCTTTACAAAATTTTAGCGAAAAATCGTACACTTTTGTTAAATTTTTTGTTATATAAAAAGAATATAAAAATATATATAATTTATATATATAAATATATATAAATTATATATAAAATAAAAATATAAAAAGTTAAAGAATTTAAGAATTCCTTCAACACAATGTACTAACATTAAAAACTGCAAATAATTATTAATTACAATAATGGCTGATTTAAATAAAGAATGAAATCCTGAAGTAATATCGAAAGCAAAATTTTGCAAAAATTTTAGATTCGGTACAATCAAATCTTAACCAAACCTAATTTCAATAAAGTTGATTTTTTTTTTGCTAATGGGACACAGGCTTGATCGGGAACTGTCCTGTCAAAATTTCATCAAAATATGCCAATGAAAAACATTAGTACAGAGTGATTTATTATCTGTAATCTTAGTCGAAAAATTTTATTCAAGTAGGCATAGATTTTTTGAATCACTGAAATAAATTTACTGTCGAACATTTTCTATCTGAAGTTGTGAAATTTTTTGTTTGCTAGATTTTAATCATAGATATATCTATAAAAATTTAAACTGAAAAAAATTTACAACATTGAATATCAGGCTTTAATTACTATTTTCTTGTGGTTCTTTGTTGGTTATCTTAACTTCAATTTTTTTTTTGTTGCAGCGGTTCTCGTGACAACTTTGGGTGTTCTCTACGAACAGAAGATACTGTTTAAAAGAATGGACGCCAAACCACGAAAGAAACAAAAAGTTAACGGTTTTCTCTTATTCACCCATGAGTGGATTAAAGATAACCAGTTCGTTGGTTCTTTGGGTAGTGCTACGTCTTTAACTGGACATCTATGGCCTGTAAGTAAAAAAAAATTAGATAAAATTTTTCAAATTCAGTGCATCATTCATTTGGAAGTAGATTCACTATTTTGATGAAAAGTATTTTGTTTGTTAAACATTGACTAAAAAAAATGGATTTTCTTTAAATATATTTAATATGTTAAAATGTGAAGTAGTTATATTACATATAAGTTATACTCGATATTTATTTTATGACAGAACCAATTACTAACATCCATTTCACATGAAATGGAATGCCAGTAAATGGATGCGAAATGGGTGCTAGTACTAGGTCCACGTTCAGGTTCAGAGCTTAGTGTCGAAATAAAATAATTTCAAATATATTTTAATATTTCTATCAGTATTCAAAATTAAGTATTGAGAAAATAATTGCTTGATTATAATTTGTGTCATTGTAATATACTGTGGAAAAAACGATTGTTATTAAGATAAGAGCATGATTAAAATATCTACTGTAGACAGCTATACTGTTTATATCACAGTATTTCATCATAGACTTAAAAATATCCTTTTTCGTGTACCCTGTGAGTTCCATTGTAGTGCCATTTTCGCTATGTCCTTGACACTTACAAACACTTGTAGCTTGTTGATAGCAGCTTTAGTTACTCTCCAAGTCTCAGACCCATATAACAGCTTGGATTTAGCACTTATATGGAATATACATATATTGTACATATATTGATGTTGTATTGCATCAAATATTATCTGATTAAAATCACTACATTTATTTGTATGAAGAAATTGGAATAAATTTATGATTTCAAAAAAGGAATATTGATTGAATCATCACAAAGATCGTATACATTTTTCCTGAATTTGTAGTTTTTTTTTCGATATTAATAAGTTCACATCAATATTTAGAAGCTTGACGTAAAGACTAAAAAGGCCTATAATGATAAAGCGAAGGAACTAAATAATAGAAATAGTATGTCTTGTACTGGTGTGCCACTAGCAATGATCGAAAAAGAGAAAAAAGAAAGCGAAATGCTTGAGAAGGAAATGAATCTTCAGATTGAGCGGGAAATAAAGGAAGCGCTTGGAGCTGGCAGTGAGTATACTTTAGGCTATCTGTGCTCTTAATTTCACAAGAATCAAAATTTTATTCTTCTCATATTTTTAGACTTATTATCCAAGAAATTTTACATAATTGCCTTTAATTATTTTACCCGCACGTTGCGAGGGGGGTACTATATTCCAGCTGAGATAGCAGCGGTCGAATTTTCATTAGAAGACGGAATTATAGCAACCTTTCACAAATGCGTAAACCCTCGTATGTATTCATTAAAAATAGCAGTATATAAAGTTAAGATTTGTCAAGTTTATAGTCGTACAATCTATGTATAATTTTGCATTTTTAAAATTGTATAATATTGCTTTATACGTTTAAATAATTATTAATTATAATTATAATTATTAATTATTAATTGAAAGTATTAGCTTGACCAATTTGGTACCCTTATTTGACTAGAATATATTTTAAAAGCTCTTGCAATATTTACAATTGACATGTTATAGAAATCAGTTTACTGGGTGAGCAGTATGATGCTCAGAAGCACTCAAACGAAACTCATCGCCTCCCAGTTCCACCAAATGCGATTGGAGAAACTGACATGAAGTCTTTGTATAAAAGTATATTGGATTTCGCAAAAGAGGAGAAAACGGGAATTAGGAGAGCATTTTATGCTAAACACGATGACGTAGAAAAAATTCAAAGTGCCCTGACCCTGGTAAAAAATGTTGCTGGAATCGACGAGATCATTGTGATATTTCCACTTGAAAATCTGATGCAACAAATGAAAAATCCTCGTAATAGTGCTGATGACTTAAAGATAAAAAGCGAAATCTATAACTTGATTGAGCGAGTGGATTATACTAATTCAAATGCGGCATGCCAAGTGAGTAAAAGTTCATAAGAATTTATGTGTAATATTGGTTAAAAAATATAGCAGATAATGTCATAATAAGTTTCATTTAAATAGAGTAAAGAATATATTAAAACACTTGGGTCCGAGTTTAAAAAAAACGGTTTATTTTTGTATTGAAAGGCTATGAATATAGTACATTAGCTTGTGATAATAACAAATAGTGAGATAAGATTGAAGTAACTATTCATAGTAACTAAATTTAGTAAAATGCTTAATTAAAGATAAGTCAATAAGTTTTAACATATAGGTAGATAAGTTAAAGATAAATTCTATTTTATAGTTGTTGTATTAAATCATATAACAATAGTCTATATGGCAATATTTATTTTCACTTTAATAGTAAAATTGTAATATATATAAATTTAAAATCATCCAAGTTATTTGAATATCGATTCTTAAACGTGTTTGATTGATCTCCCAATGGCGCAAGATATATTGTTTATATAAGTATGATATATTGTACGCAATACATAACCATATGATATAATCTAGTTTAATTTGATATAGGTTCAATAAATTTAATTTTATGGTTCTTTCTATTAAAAAACTAACAAAATTTAATTTGATTTTTCGCCAGTTCCATAATTTGTTAAAACTTTTATTAGCCATATATGTACTTGATTTTTTTCTTTTTAATTTTTTTAGTTTCACCGAAAAATCGATATTGTTGAAGCTTGCGCTAGTTCGATTGGATCGACTTTAGCAATAATGCTTATTAAATATATACAGCCCTATCCACAAGCAAATACAAGACTTGATGAGCACAATAATGAAATAGATCTGTCAGGAGTTGCTAGCTCAAGTCGTCCAGGGGTGTTGAGAGAACGTGATCATCATCAATTTCGTACAATTAAATGTGAAGATATGAAATATATACACCCCAGTCAACAAGTCAATGATAATTCGGAAAAAGATGCATCTGCGGTTAGTTTTTCGTCGGCAGTTTTTCATAACACTAGCGATTCAGAGTTTTTAATAGGAAGTGGAGGAAGACAAAGTAACCAAAACTGTAGTTCAATTAAATGTGAAGATATGAAATATATACACCCCAGTCAACAGGCAAATACAAAACTTGATGAGCAAAATAATGAAAGTGATCTGTCAGGAGTTGTCGGCTCAAGTCGTCCAAAGTTGTTGAGAGGACGTGATCATCATCAAGTTAGTACAATTAAATGTGAAGATATGAAATATATACACCCCAATGAACAAGTCAATGAAAATTCGGAAAAAGATAAAGTTAGTCTTTCGTCGGCAGTTTTTCATAGCACAAGCGATCCAGGGTTTTTGAGGGGAAGTGGACGAAGACCAAGTAACCAAAACGTTAGTTCAGTTAAATGTGAAGATATGAAATATCTACACCCCTATCAACAAGCAAATACAAAACTTGATGAGCAAAATAATGAAAGTGATCTGTCAGGAGTTGTCGGCTCAAGTCGTCCAAAGTTGTTGAGAGGACGTGATCATCATCAAGTTAGTACAATTAAATGTGAAGATATGAAATATATACACCCCAGTCAACAAGTCAATGATAATTCGGCAAAAGATGCATCTACGGTTAGTTTTTCGTCGGCAGTTTCTCATAGCACAAGCGATCCAGGGTTTTTGAAAGTAAGTGGACGAAGACCAAGTAACCAAAACCTTAGTTCAATTAAATGTGAAGATATGAAATATATACACCCCAATCAACAAGTAAATGTAAAACTTGATGAGCAAAATAATGAAATAGATCTGTCAGGAGTTGCTAGCTCAAGTCGTCCACGGTTGTTGAGAGAACGTGATCATCATCAATTTAGTATAATTAAATGTGAAGATATGAAATATATACACCCCAGTCAACAAGTCAATGAAAATTCTGAAAAAGATAAAGTTAGTCTTTCGTCGGCAGTTTTTCATAGCACAAGCGATCCAGGGTTATTGAGGGGAAGTGGACGAAGACCAAGTAGCCAAAACCTTAGTTCAATTAAATGTGAAGATATGAAATATCTACACCCCAGTCAACAGGCAAATACAAAAAGTGATGAGCAAAATAATGAAAGTGATTTGTTTGGAGTTGCCAGCTTAATTCATCCAGGGTTGTTGAGGGGACGTGATCATCATCAAGTTAATACAATTAAATGTGAAGATATGAAATATATACACCCCAGTCAACAAGTCAATGAAAATTCTGAAAAAGATAAAGTTAGTTTTTCGTCGGCAGTTTTTCATACCACAAGCGATCCAGGGTTATTGAGGGGATGCGGACGAAGACCAAGTAACCAAAACCTTAGTTCAATTAAATGTGAAGATATGAAACACTTATACCCCAATCAACAAGTAAATGTAAAACTTGATGAGCAAAATAATGAAAGTGATCTGTCAGGAGTTGCCAGCTCAAGTCATCTATGGTTGTTGAGAGGACGTGATCATCATCAAGTTAGTACAATTAAATGTGAAGATATGAAATATATACACCCCAGTCAACAAGTCAATGATAATTCGGAAAAAGATGCATCTGCGGTTAGTTTTTCGTCGGCAGTTTTTCATAACACTAGCGATCCAGGGTTTTTGAGGGGAAGTGGACGAAGACCAAGTAACCAAAACGTTAGTTCAGTTAAATGTGAAGATATGAAATATCTACACCCCTATCAACAAGCAAATACAAAACTTGATGGGCAAAATAATGAAAGTGATCAGTCAGGAGTTGCCACCTTAAGTCGTCCAGGGTTGTTGAGAGGACGTGATCATCATCAAGTTAGTACAATTAATTGTGAAGATATGAAATACGTGCACCCCAGTCAACACCCCGACATAAATTCCATGAACGCTACACCTGACGTTACTTTTTCGTCGGAAGTTTTACATAGCACAAGCGGTCGAGGGTTTTTGAGAGGTCGTGGAAGAGGAAGAGGTTACCTTACTCGTGGACGAAAGCGTCCAGTTTGACAAAAATTTTTTTTACTTATTTCTTTACAAATATTTCTTAAAAATATGATTATAATTTTATACAATATTCTTAATTATTTGCGTTTTTAAATTGAAAAAGAAAATAAAATGAAAAAAATAAGTAATGAGAATAAATTTTTAATAATGTAATCTAGGTTAAGACATGACCTAAAGTAAATAGACTTTAGGTCATGTAGAATTTATTGCGATAGGTATACGCAGTGCTTCGATAATATCGATATGTATAGGTAAATGACTTAATCTTCAATTCAAGCAATATAGCCTAACATATATAAAAAAAATTGGATTTAATAATGTTAATAATATGTCGCTGGGCTTTCAAATACTGCAATATGCTCCGCAATTAATTTTAAAATAAAGATATTGATGTTTACTGCAATTATTATTAAAAAAAAGTCAAATTTTTCAATCATTCGAATAAAATAATTTTGAAGAGTTATGCATTTTTAAGAATTTGTTTACTTTAATGACTATATAACTAAATAATCAATTTTATTTTTATTTCAAACAAAATGCGGTCTCATAAATTTTATATAAGTAAATAGGCCTAAAAATAATTTTTAGCATTCACGAACTATGTTTAAAGAAATTTACGTAGGTGATATATTGTGCGACGTTGGGACAGTGCACCATCCAACAAGTGGTCTCACTGAAGTACAGAATTATCTGAAGCAGACAACGAAACGACTTGGATCCTTTTTTGTCCTTCCAATCTCAAATATCGTTATTGAGTTAAAGCTAAAGTGACTTTCGTTCGTATAACTACATCTCTTGTTATTGCAAGCAGCTCATTTGGCTTGAGTTGGCCTGCCAAGTCATCCCCAACCCAATAGTGTAGCAAGACATACATCCTCCTTATATATATATAAGGAGGATATATTGTCCTCCAGTGCTGGGCATTGGCACAATATATACACCGCTGTCTCCTTTTCTTCTAGACATAGCCTGCAAGTGTCTGCCTCAACAGGAGTTATCTTACTATAAGTTTCCATGTCTACTAATCACTGAAGTCGGTCAGCTTAAGGGTGCTCCGCAGATAGCTAAGCACTTTTATCACTTTCCTGGTCAACGGTTCTGATATCATTAGTCAGAAATCTGCAGTGCTTTTATTAAATTATGTTGATAACAAATAAAAATATCACTGCATTGATATTATTAATTCATAATGTGCATAATATTTGAAACAATCATAGTATTATATACTACAACTTCGTAAAATCTATACATGAGGATAAATGTATGTTTAATCAGAAATAAATCTGGCTGACTATTAAATAGATTAATAACATATTAAACTCTTCTTACTAGTTTTATTGATTTAGTGAATTAAGTGAATTACTTATTATTTATTACATTCCTAGATTAGGTTCTATACAGAAAAAAGAACAAATTATATAATGCCTCTACATTATAATCATATAATGCCTCAACATATAATGCCTCTATGGTACAAACAGAATAGTATTGAAATTTAACAATTAAAAAATAAAAAATATAATAAATTATTTCAATTAATTATTACACAGCTGGTTTCTTATTTCGTTCTTATAAAACACAGTAAATAAATTTGCTAATAAAACTTTCACAGCAAAGTAATAAAACTCCCGAAAAATTCGCGAATATAAAAAGTCAAGTACGGCTTTGAGTCAGTTGGTTTAGGAACGCTGACTCTGAGCTTCAAATTTGGCAGGACACGAGTTCTATTTCTGGTACTTGCAGTCTCAAAAAGAATTATTTACGAATAATTAAATACAAAAATTATTTCCAAAGCCACTGATGATAGGTATTTGGCAATAGTCGAAACAGCTGTATGGTCTGCCTAAAATTCATTAATTAAAATGATATAAAATAAATTTTTGTTGTTGTAGTTCACTACTGTTCGAAAAAACTTCAAAATCTACTGTTCAATATAGATTAATGATAATTTGTATTAAGTTTATGCAGTTATGAATTCATACCTCATCGGGTATATTGTTACTTGGTACTTGCCAATATCAAAATTAATTTGACGTAAATCCGGTAAATGTTTCCCTTGTACGACTAAAACAAATTGCTTTTTAATTGTATTTAATAATTATTAATTCAAAACTCATTTAGAAATAATTAGTTTTCCTGAAATTAATCAGAGATTAACATGTGTCAACCCAAATATGTATATATTTCGTCTCGATTTGTTGATTGCTCATAACACCAGAAGCACTTTAAAGAGTTTCTAATGTTTATATGCAAACTGGGCATTCACCACAACGATAGAAAGTCTCTCAAATAAAGTTTTAAAGTATACAGCGAAAATGCACGAATGCCTAACTTTTACGGAAACACTAAAAAGACCAACTCCCATAAATAATTCAAAACTTATAATGGAAATAAGTTTGAAGTGTAGACAGAATTTGTTGTGTTATTGGAAAGAATAGAGCTACTTTATCGATTGGTAGTGTAGGGTTGCATACATTGTCTGCATTATATTATATTATATATGTATATTAAATATTTATCCTGTTTATTTTTTAATTCTCATATATATTCTATATATATATATATATATTCTATGATACTAATAACCCAAAAACTGTGTTGTGATGAATGCAGCATTTTTGTTCGAAAATGCTTTTACCAATAATTAGATCTGCTGCTGTTTTCTAACTATCTTTTTTTACTTTCAAAAGACACACTGGTATAGCGCGATCTATGAGATCAATTGTGCAATATTACTTGTCCCACAGTTTGAAAAACTGTCTGATATTCAATTAGATATATTATAATTATATCAATTATAAGTAACTAAACTGAATCTCATTTATTACATTAGCATTTTTTCTTGTATTGGTTATGCTCTCAAATGAAAAAGTAAGATGTACATTATTTTTGTCTCTTTTTAAAATGTCCGAACAGAATTTGAAACTTCATTTTTTAAAATGGAATTAAGTACAATCAGCTATTTATTTTGCAGAGTAAAGGCTCTCAAATCAATATAAGTGATGCCGATACCTCAGCAGAAAAACCCTAGATGTGAATTGCTTAGGAACATAGAAGAAACCATCATCGATATTTATTATGAGGTCACACGAACCTTTTAACCTAGATTAAACAGGAATTAAAAGAAAAGCTGGAGATAGTACTAGAGTACTGAAAAGGTAATGAACTATGGCACTGATGCCTTAACAGGTCCAATTCTTATAAGTGAATTATGCAGGGGTTACATGCAGGATGAAGAAGAGATAACATCTTGGCACTTGCAGATACAATTAGAATATATATAAGTTGGGCAGTTATATGTTAAACTGTAAAATCATTAATTTAAAGATACATTTAATTACGAGTACATACTTTTTGCCTTTCTGCAGAATTAGAAGATCCTTTTATGGCAGATAATATACGAAAATAATAAATTGTAATGTGATACTTCTTCCTTCCAGAGAACTGGAATGGGAGCACAATAATGAATGTCTGCATGTCTAATAACGAAGTATTTATAAATGGTATAAATTTATTATTTGTACAGATTTTTAAATAGTATAAATGGTTTAAGATAAGTTGAGTATATATTGAAGTTTGTGTAAGGTCTGGGTGTTCTAACATGTTCACAACTGTTAAAAACATTAAATAAATTAAACATATTGTGTTGGGAATAGACATATTGTTATTTAAGATATTGTTCAAGAAATTGGAGTAGAGAAATAGGGTTTTGCTAAGTACTGCCACGTAAAAATGGGTAGCTGTCATATTTTTTTTCGAAAACGTTTTGCTTATTCAACATTTGTAGACAAACACTAATATAACTGTGATGCCTAAACATCTCATATATTTTTTGGATATAGTACTTTGCGATTAATTTTCTAATTACCGAACTCAAAAAACACTTCAGGAGTTATAATATTTCTCAGCTATAGGTGAGATAAAGGAGATGTCGTAGAGCAGTGTTTTTCAATTTTCAAACCATCAACCTATAATTTAGCCATGTCCAAACGATGTGTAGCATTTTTTAAACATCATGTATAACAGGTAACGATGGAATTGGAGAGCAAACTCAAGATCGTAATTCTCATGTTCCAAACAATAATACGGAATTGTGTAATTTTGAAGAGAGACTATTTAGGACTATAAAGGAATGAAATAAACATTGAATATTATATATATGTATATAAATTTTAAAATATTAAATAGAATATTAAAAAATTAATTATTTATCTAACTTTTTGATCACACTTTGAATGTATGAATTAAATTTTTTTTAATTAAGAAATTGATTGGTTTCCTTTGACCAGTTTATGGTATGAATTTGATATAAAGTTTGTGCTGTAAAGGGATCTTCTTCCTTTTTGATCCCAAAACTTTTGTTTAAACTTTGATTCAAAGCACTTAAGAAATCCATTGGGGTCCTTTGACCAATTTTTATAGTAGCTGGTTGGGGTTCATACTCGAGAAGTCACTCTTACCGATAGTATGTACACATTAAACAATTCTATTAGTTTATTTAACATTGATTTTGCCAATTTCTGTGCCAAGCCAAACATGTTAACTCCAAACAAGTGACTGCAGCGTTTGTTTTATTATGGAAACGTCTTCCGGTCACTTTGTTATTTTTCCACTATATGTTTTAAAGTGCCGTATGAGTACATTCACTTGTCGTTGTTCTTGTAATTGCTGAACTAGTAGTTGGTGTCTTTGGACGTTACGCTGATGATGGAGTGGAAAAACTTGTCCGAACTGAAGTAGTCACTGAAGCGGTGCATAAATAATAATAACAATAAAAAGTAAATAAAATACATAAGAAAAAAAAATATCATTAAAAAAAATATTAGAGACAAACCAGCAAAAGCTTAATAACTACAACCAAAACAAAAAAAAATAAATAAATAAAAAACAAAAAAAAATTAAAAATAAAATAAAAATGAAATAAAATTTATTCAATCTAACCAGAACTAAAAAGTAAAAGCAAAGTGACCGGAAGTTGTATAGACACAGTGCATATGGATGAG